CCACCCCTTCCTCCCCGCTCACTCACATGTTGATGTTGAAGTCCTTCTTCTCGCACAGCATGGCCTCGGCGAGCTGCTGCTGCGGGCCGCCCTCCGCGCCCACCAGCTGCGGGGCGACAGGCAGAGGACACACGGGGTTAATCTCATTTACATACGGCAGCCCGACGGCCTATCCCGGCAAAGGGACTGACCCTCTCATTTGCATACGACAGCCCGCCGGCCTATCCCGACGGAGCGGACGGGATCATATCTGCATACAACGGCCCAGCGAAGGGGGAGGAGGGGCGAGGCCACCGTCGCCGCCGAGGATATGCCCGCCGTGGGGCTGAGCGCTGGGCTAGCGGGGCCGGGCCGGGCCGAGCGGATCCGAACCGGGCCGGGAAAGAGCTGGAGGACCGGGGACTCCCGGGGCACCGCAGACGTACCAGTATGGTGGCGCTGTTGAGCTCCGGCAGCTTATCGAAGGGCCGCAGCACCGCCATCCCCGCCGCCGGCCGCGCGGCGATTTGAAAATGGCCGCCTCGCGTGACGTCACGCTGGGAGCGGGGCGGGGCCGCGCGGCGCGGGTGCGCGCTCGGCGGGGGGCGCGCCGCTTATAGCAGCGGAGGGCCGCTTATAGCAGCGGCGGTGGCGCTGCTGGGGCTGCGGGCTTTGCGGGCATGCGGTGCGGCGAAGCCCGGGCTGCGTGGTGGCCGGCTTTGGGAAAGGCTGGTGCCTCGTCCCCGGAGCTGTCCTTGCCCCGGGCTCCGTCCTGCTCTTTCCTGGCCGTCCCGGTGCTGCGAACGCAGTCCGTGCAAAACCGCGGCGGCCACGGAGCTGTCATCGCACGGAGGAGCCCAGCCGTGAGGACGGGGCGCGCCGAAGCCTCGGGGCCGGCTCCCCTCCCTGCGCTGCTCGTCGCCCCGCTCTGCGGAGCTCCCCGTGCGCAGAGACTGACGCGGATACGCGGATGCGTTTTCTCCTCCGATGAGCCCTGCAGGGGCTGCGATGGAGGCTGACATCACTCCTGCTTTGATCCTGACAAAGGCGGACGGCTCAGCTCGTCGCCGGCGCCGCGGCAGGTGAAGCAGAAGTGATGGCGGATATTTCTGGCTGCCGCAGCGGTCGGCGGGGGGAAGGGAGGCTGCGGTCAGGGCAGAGCTCCCCGTGTGCTCTGCTTTCGGCCAAAACGGCTTTCATAGCGCAGCGATGGTTTGGCTGTTGCTGAGTGATGGAAGCATTTGCCAGGCCGGGAAAGCCACTGCCTTTGTGGCATTGTAAAGCCATGGGGAGCTGGCCAAGGGAAGGCCTCCTAGGGGATTGCTGCGTGCCAGCCGGTGGGTGGTGAGACCACCATACTGGCAGTCAGAGGGCAGCTGTGTTGCTGCTGGTCAGCAGTCTGCAACCGGTTGCATTGTGACTACATATATATATCTCTATGCAGTTATCGTTGCCTATCTATGTTCCTCTTCTGTGTTAATAAATAGTTTTTATCTCAAGTCACAAGTTCTATTCTGCTTCCAGTTCTCTCCCTCATGAAGAAGTGGGCCCATGAAAACCTAATGAGGTTCAATAAGGCCAAATGCAGGGTACTGCACTTGGGTCGGGGCAATCCCAGATATTTATACAAACTGGGGGAAGATCTCCTTGAGAGCAGCCCTGCAGAGAAGGACTTGGGAGTCCTGGTAGACGAGAAGCTGGACATGAGCCAGCAGTCTGTGCTTGCAGCCCGGAAGGCCAACTGTGTTCTGGACTGCATTAAAAAAAGGGTGGCCAGGAGGAACAGGGAGGTGATTGTCCCCCTCTGCTCAGCTCTTGTGAAGCCCCATCTGCAGTACTGCATCCAGGCCTGGGCCCCCAGTACAGGATGGACGTGGAGCTCTTGGAGTGGGTCCATAGGAGGACCACTAAATCAGAGGGCTGGAGCACCTCTTCTAGGAGGAAAGGTTGAGGGCACTGAGCTTGTTTAGCTTGGAGAAGAGAAGGCTCCAGGGAGACCTCACTGTGGCCTTCCAGTACTTGAAGGGAGAATATGAACAGGATGGGGAACGGCTGTTTATGAGGGTGGATTGTGATCGGATAAGAGGGAATGGTTTTAAACTGAGATGGGTGGTTTAGGTTAGGTATGAGGAGGAAGTTTTTCACTCAGAGGGTGGTGATGCACTGAACATGCTGGCCGTGAACCCAAGAAGGTTATAGATGCCCCATCCCTAGAGGCATTCAAGGCCAGGCTGGATGTGGCTCTGGGCAGCCTGGGTTGGTGACCCTGCACATAGCAGGAGGGTTGAAACTAGATGATCATTGTGGTCCTTTTCAACCCAGGCCATTCTGTGATTCTATGATTTTACCCCAACTGGGGAACAACATACAGCTGCATGGTGCTGAGCTGCTGCCAGATTATGGCACAACTGCATGGTACCTGTGGGCACCCAGGCAGCTCCCAGTAGCCCCACGCTGCCAGCAGATCTTTGTGGGACGTGGGTGCACACATCGGGGTGCCCTTGCTCTTTCCCAGCAGGTGCAAGTGATGTAATTTGCTGCAAGTGCGTGTTATTAGGGAAACTAATGACATTTCCACATATGTTGCTGGCAACTTTGGCTTCCTCTGGCAAAGGCTCCCCCCAACTGTCTTTTGACTCAGTGTAAGTCAGCTTTTTCTATTATGTTCTTTATTTTAAAGTGTACATTTCTGTATCTTTTTGAACAACTCAGCAAAGCTTCTCAATGGGTTTCTTGATCCAAAGCCCCAGTGGCAGCCAGGGTTGTGGGGTCTGTGCCTCTTGCAGGGGTTTTGTCCTCCACTGAGGAGCCTGGGGGGGGGGGGTCCAAATGGCACATAACAACAGGGAATGTTTACCTGAGGTTTCCTGACCATTTCCTCTTTCTCCATTCAGGGTTTTTGCCAGGAAGGTCTCATATCAAATCTCTTGTGGGTAAAGCTGTGACTGCACAAGGACATGGAGGAAGCAGGGGCTGGAAGCAGGCTGCCCAAGGAGGTGGATCACTATCAGTGGAGTTGCTCAAGAACCATGTGGATGTGGCACTGAGGGACGTGGTTAGAGGGCGTGATGGGGGTGGGCTGACAATAGGACTAGATGATCTTACAGATTTTTTCCAACCTTGAAGATTCAGTTGTTCTATAACCTGATCAGTTCTCCCAGAGTGCATAGTTCCAGGCAGCATAGCCACTCCTGCTGCTCCAGCAGGCCCACACACAGGGATTCCTGCCTGGAGCCACTTTTGTGGGCATGGACAGTCTGTGTGTAGGTATGCCTGGGATATGCCAAGTGGCTTGTAGCAGCTGTACTCATAGCGAGAGCTGAGCTGCAGCTGCAGTGTTTCCATGTGGCTGAGCTGCACGTGGCACGTCAGCGCTTGCTTGCTGAGAAACCTCTGATGTGACAGGACCCGAGAGACAATCACACGCAGCGAGCTGTTGCCACGGCACCTGAGGCATGGCTGCCACTGACTGCACGGGGCTGCAGCGGGCAGAGGGATGGGAAGGAAGCCATGCACAGCCTTGCCTGATAATGATGCAGGACAGTGTGGGATGGTGAGTGGCAGTGTGTCACCTGTCATCGGAGCCAACAGGAACACACGGGCCACAGGTTTCTTGAGGAGAGGGCTCACACCGCTCTGCACCTGAAATGCAATCTGCAAAGTCAAACCTTGTCCCTCCTGAGATATGCAGATCTGGGTGTTTAAGGGCTCTGCTATGGGGCTCAGATGGTGCTGCGGTGTTTATTAGCCCTCCAAATCCCGCTGCAGAGGGCAGCAGGGCTGGAAAAAAAAAAAAAAAAATAACGAAGAGAAAGCAAGCAGCTGGATCGTTCCCATCTCCATCAAAGGTACTGCCAGGCTGGGAATGGATTCATGCAATCTCAGAACCGCTTCTGCCATTATCCCAGTACCGGCTGCAGCGGGGCTGCTCCCAGCT